TAGAAGCCTAAATAATTTGTTTAATATAAGAGAAACAAAGTGGATGAATTGTACAATTCTATTTCTTGACTCTGCTCATTCCCCCTCAAGTTCAGAGTAACATCCATAATATAAATCATACTATTCAGTCTCAAAATGAATACTGCTCTTAAAAAACAATTTAAGAGGTTTTCCTGCATTTGAGATAGAAGCTTTTATGACCCACAGCTAATAAATGAGCTGATTCTGATAAATTTCTATTAACTATTCAAGGTTGAGAAAAGTCACAGAGTAGCTTCACTGAAAGTTTATCAACAAGATAAATTCTTAAAGAGAAGGCAGACATATGAAAAGCTTGAGAGCTTTCCTATATCCCATGTAAGAATGTTAAAAAAAAAATTCCCAGAATGAGTAGCTGAACTGAAAATTAAATTGTATTTATTTAGTTATGGAGGGAGAAGTTGACATAGCAATTCTGTTAAAAAGCTCATCAGGAAGTTATATCATCTTTCCATAAAAGAGGAATACAAAAAAGGTGCAGGATGGACTTGACAACAAAAAGTTTATGTTGAAGCACAAAGCACAGCCAATCCGAGTACTTATTCCCACTACTGAACAACGTAAGAATCTTGGAACACTTGCATCTTTAAGGCTATGACACCAAAAAAGGCAGGTGGTCATCTTGAAAGTACCGCCGGGAACTCCACCTTTTCAAATCTGTTGTTAACTACAGATACAAAAGGCCACATATTATTGATTCCCTTTATATGCAATGTCCAGAATAGGAAAATCCAGAGACAGAAAGTAGACTGGTCGTTGCCGGGGCTCGAGGGAGAAGGGAATGGAGAATGACTGCTAGTGGGCACATGTTACTTTTCTGATGAAAATGGTCTAAGAGTAAACAGTGATGACTGCGCAAGTCTGTGAATTCATTAAAAAACAATGAATTGCTCACCTTCCAAGGGTGAACATCATGGTATGTGAACTATATTTTAATAAGATGATTATTAAAAGATAAATTTAAATTAAAAAGCAATCTGACAGAATTCATAAGGTCAATTACACTTTAACAGACACCATTCAGAGCTGCCCACCCGCTTCCAGGGCTTCGCGTTTACCTTGGCAAGGCGGCTCATCTGGTCCTCTGAGACAGTACTGCTTGTTCTCCCGGGAGTTTTTGTGGGTTCTGATCCATCTGCTTCCACATTAGGCCAGACCTTTAAGTCATGCATCCCTTGGCGAAACATGCTGGATAAAAACGAGAACGTTCAGGGCAGAATTAAACTAACGCAGCCCATTATGGGAAATTTTACATTCCTAAACAGAGAGAATTCTGCACAAGGAAATGTATGTCTCTGTTGCCAAGCTTTATGCCTCCAGTGGGTTGGGTTGTAAAGCAATTAAATGAGCAACTGAAATCCACGTAACACTGTTTTTCACATGCCCGTCTTTTTTCTTCCAAGCAGTTAGAACTATTACAGAGATTCTAAAGGTCGAGTGGAAAAAGAGAAGGATCAGGAATGGACCACACACACTTCATCACTTCAGTGGAGATCTTAGAAAGAGAAACCAAATTTCAACCCAATGAGAGAATGTCACATTTACAATGACTGAAACCAAAATTTAAATAATTACATAACTTTCTACTTTAAGTGACAATACAGCACAGCAGAGGGTAGAGTTAAACTGCTGGGGTTTGAATTCCAGCTGTGCCATCTATGACCTACGGGACCTTGAGTAAATTGCTTAACTTCTCTGTGCCTCAGTGTCCTGATCTATAAAATGAGATTATAGAGAGTAACTATATCTCACAGGGTTGTTAGAAAAAGTAAATAAACCAGTACAAGTAACAGGTACTTAGAATAGTGCCTGCCACATAATAAGTATTTGATAAATGTTAGCCATTATTTTCCTTTTCATGAGGCACAGGTTTATTTTTCCCATCTTCTTTTCCGTAAGAGAGATCATTAAAAGGGAAGAGTGGACTCAATAAAAAAAAAATTTCCATGTCTACGAATCAGAAATGTAACACATGGTCAGAAGTCAGCCTGAGCTGGGTGATCCTGCTTTCAAGTGGAAGACTACATGAACTTGATCGTCGTACTTCCTTTGAAAAGCTACCAAGTGCATACTGTACAGCACAGGGGACTATATTCAGTATCCTGTACTAACCTATAGTGAAAAACAGTATGTGTATGACCAAAGCATTATGCTGTACACCAGAAACTGACACACTGGAAACTGACTATACTTCAACAAAAATATATTAAAAAAAAAAAGCTACCAAGAAGATCCAGAGAAAGGTTGAACAAACTCATAAAGGAGCTTTAGACAATTATGCTTTTAAAACATTGCTGTCAAGTTTCTGTGTTTGCTTTTCACAGGGCATTACAGTCTTCCGTTAGAGTGGCCTCCTTTCTCAAGTGTCGTTTCACAAAGCCTTTCGAACAACATGACACCTGCTCAAGCAACATCCTCCCAAAGCTGGAAGGGAAGGCTGTCAGTTGCAATGGAAAGAGTAAGATTAGAAGTGTGTGCAGGTGAGTGGGCGAGTCCAAAGCATTCTGCATACTCTCGCATGCAATGTTTTTAAAAAAATAAGGTACACGTTGGATATACCGATACATTTTCTTCATCTTTGAAAACACTGCGCTAAGCTGGAAAAGGTTTACATACATTTTTAAGCTATTACACATTCTGACTACTGGAAAATTTCTTAGCAGGTTTTCCTGAGGTAATAAAGAGGATTTTCACTGAAAATTATATAATGTAATGTATGTAAGTAATGATGCCATAAACATTTAGGTTGGGAACTATAAAGGCCAGTTATAAGCTCATGAGCACTGTAAGAGTAAAGACCATGTGTGTTCAGGTATCTAAGGTTGGCAATAAACAGGTAATACCCAGCAACCGTATCTGCAAAAGCTTCCCTTATAGGCCCAAAACAAAATGCACTGACCGGGTGAGAAGAATTAAGATGCTCAATATTTATCTATCACGTTAAAGATCAAAAAAAAAGTTATACGACAAAAAAAAGCCTTTTATAAAGTTCATTTTCTTTTCCTTTCAATTGAGATATAGATTCAACATCAAGCAAACCTGGTTAGTCTCTAAGAAATTGGGTATAGTGAGGTCAGAACACTGCTTTCAACGAATATCGTTAAATAAACCTTCCTCCTCTCCACGTCCTTCTCCCCAAGTGAGAAGTCTGGCTGAACTTAGCCAAATCAAAAGTAAGTACCTTTGGCACCAAATCAGTTTAATAAATGATTTTGGTGCCGTGGGATGGATCTGGAGAGGAGAGTTAAGAATCAGGGACATGGAGAGTAGGGATGATGTCAAGTGACTCAAATGATCAGGTGAACACATTACTTTCTTCTGACACTAATGGAACCTTTGCAGAGAGTGACACAGCCCCCAGGGGGCAACCAGAAGAGGCTCAGAGCATCAGATCCACTTAGGAAATTAAGCCAGAGAGGCAAGACAGAAGAAACGGTACAGCAGGGTCCTCAGATGCCAGAAGAGGCCCAGACAACAGCTGCTGGGGACGCGCCAGCTCCCAAGCCGAGACACCAGAGCAGCAACTGCCCCGACTTCAGAATCCACGTTTGGAAACGACATCTGCAAGAGAGATCCGCAGCTCGCCGATGGCCCTTTGCCAATTTGACTTAATGATCGGTCCATTCTTTAGCTACTTAGAAACCTCACAACTAGGCTTTCAAAATGAGGACAATCAGTTATTCTAGCCGCGTCCTAACAGAGCTGTCTCTCAATTATTAATCACGCTATTCCCCCAAGAAGCACCGCTTCACACTGACTCAAGGAAACAAAAGAAATATGAGCGGATAGCAAGAGCTGGTAGTCACAGGGTCCCTGATGATGTAACACAACTATAACTGACACTTTGTGAGGACCACTTTTAAAAAGATGCCAAGTCCCTACCGGGATTATTTAGGGAACGAGGTGGGGGTGGGGAGCGCGTTGTACCTGGGTGTTAATTCATTGCTTAAGAAATATTTGAGGAAACTGAGGTCTAAAGAACTGTTTCCCTAACTAAGTGATGAGAATGTGGCTGCACACGACACGCTTTTTAATGGTAGGTGGAAGGAAATTTGCGCAGGCTTCCTGCTGAGGCCACCTGGAAGACCCGGGCTACTGCCTCTCCCCGCGTGGGAGCAACCCCACGCAGAGAAGCAGCTGTGCGCCAGCAGCACGGGCGGATGTCTGCGCCCGGCCGCAGCCCCCGGAGCAGCCTGGGTACCAGTCTCCCACAATCCGAAGCTGCACGGAAGCCCAGTATCATGTTGGGGGTGGGGTGCCTGGGTTTATGCGCACCGCAACCCAGTTCACCTTCAAGGAAAGGCCCCTGGACACAGGGAGAAGGAGGAGTTATTTTAATTTCATAGGGCTTTTCAGATTTCCTTTTTCTGAGCTAAAGGTCACTATAAGCATCAGCCTAGAGGAAATAATAGGTGATCTAGTTTTTTCGCATTCCTTCACCACTGTGCAAAATAACCATAGACCTGTATTAAAATTCTAATGCTAGCATTTGGCTAACTGTCCTACAACTGTATGGGAGATGAATTGGCTAATGAAAAACATGCCGATGTAAAACCTCACCTTTAAATTAACTGACAGTGAGCTGACCGTCTCCTTATATCCAACTAGGCACAAACAGAACCATTCTAATTAAAAGACTTGTTTTTTTTGGCAAGTATTATATGCATATTTTGCAAGTCAAATAGATTTACTATCATTTGTGTTTCATTAGGGTTTTTTTGTTTGTTTCAATTTCCAAACTTTAATAACATAGTTATTTTCATTGTACTTACTTTTTATCATTATCCACCTATGTTAAATATTTGTTTTTCATATATAGCAATGATAGTAATTTTTGCTTTAAACTAAATGGAAGTTAAAAAAAATGAGCTGGTTTAAACAAAAATATCAAGTAGAACAAACACTATGGTTTACCTTTCATACAAGTTTCCAACATGGTTTAGATGGAAGGTAAAGATATTTTTCTTCCACTGGGATATGCACAGCAATACAAATAAAGCGGCTACCAGGGGGTGGAATAAAGGGAGAGATTCTGAAAAGAACAACGTGCAAAAGTCAAACAACAGACCACAATGAAAAAGTGAATGCGGCGTTTCTCAAAATGTGGTCCATAGGCTACCTTTCACAGAACCACTCAGGAAGCTTATTAAAAATACTGATTTTGGCCCCCATCACAGACTTACTGAATTAATGAGAATGCCAGAAGGTGCCAGCCTAGGGACCTTACCGGGTAATTCCCATATACAGATTGATTACCATTGATTTCACGTACTTTTTAAAAACTTGCCAAAAGCCAAGTAAAACAGTGTCGCAAATGTCAATCTGAGAGTTTATTTGGCTTTACGCAGGTCATCTCACTGTACTTCTGTGGACATTTCAGTGGCCTCACAGCTACAGTCTAATCAGAGTGTCTCCTGAAATCATACTGTAAGGTCAACCAAAAATATATACCAGTGCTAAAAGAGGTGTTTTCTTGGGAACCGCCTGTTGATCTTTCAGAAGTCAGCCACTTAGGAAGAGGCCAGCAGGAAAAACCCAGAGGGCATGTGGCTGCTTCTCAAGAACACTTAACCACTGAGACTGTAGTAAGCGGAATAAACTGCTGCGCATCCTTTCCTGTGTGGCAAGCAAATCCCACTCCGCTACAGAAAGTGAAAAGGAACGAACAACACTGACTGTGTGATACGTCCATCCCACTGTAACACGCTACTGTATCAAAAAATAGATCTAAAACCGGAAGCCACAATGGCTCAGACTATGTCTGAACTACTGTTCCTGCATGGATTTCAATCATAAATATCTCTTTAATAGGTACATTAAACTAAAATACCTACATCTTCCCAAGCAATCAAGCTATTCTAAATGGAATTACATCTCGATTTTATTCATGAGTTGAAGCTTTTCTGAGATACCCTATTCTTGAATAGAAAAATTCAGTATTATAAGGGTGTCAATTTTCTATGTAATTTACATACATAATTCAATACAGTTTCCCAGCAAAATAACAATGAGCTTTTTTTTAAACTGAGGAAATATTAAAATTTATCTTATAAAAGACAGAATATCAAGAGAAATTCTAAAAAGAACGCTAATAAGGATAACCATCCCTCTCTAAAATCAAAACATTAACAGCATCAAAAGCAGCAAGACTAGTTCAGAGACAATGGCAGCTAATATTTACTGAGCATTTATGAAGCTCATTACATGTCTTTAGCAATTTATCACGGTAAACTACTCTGTGAGGTCATACTACTATCTCATTTTACAGACAAAGAAACTGAGGCATAAAGAGATTAAATAACTTGCACCCAAAGGTCCACAGATACTAAGCAAAGGAGCCAGGTTTTAGACACAGATAAACTAGTTCTATAACCTGCATTCCTAACTGCCATCAGTTTTATTATAAAAACTGATAAATTCAATGTAATAATTTAAGATCCACGAGCAGCAAGTACACAAGCAAATGGACAAACATATACTAGTTCAAAAGGATATGTCAAATAGGAAAAATAATATTTGTAACGTGTCCCACACAAAGGGCTAATATCATTAATTTATAAAGGCCCCTTACACATTAACAAGAAAAATGACAACTCAAAAAAATGCAAAGAATTGTATGGTATGCGAATTATACCTTAATTTTTTCAAAATGGGCAAAGGATATCAAAAGGCAATTCACAGAAACATAAACACAAATAGTAAAGAAAAATATCAAAAACCTGACCATCCTCATTCATATTCAGTGATGTCAACATTAATTTCAGAAGTCAACATTTTTCAGTTTCAAGATGTGCAAAAATTAAGAAGTCTGGTAACACTGAGATTACGGTCTTTACCATTTCACCTCAAAAGGAAGCACGGACTTCTTTCAGGGATTCCAGGTCTGGGGCAGAAAATCGCCCAATGAACCTGGAATAGCTTGTCCACCAGGAAGTGAAGAGGCTGCCAGTGATTACTGGAGGGCTGCACTGTCAAGGAAACGTGGGCTCAACTCGAAGGGGCTCCGATGGACCAAAAATGGGAGTTTTTGAGAATTATAAAGGATAAAAACAGTAATGGACTGACACGCTTAAACACAAAAAACCATCAGTCATCACCTTTGCCAGTTGCCAAGGCACCAACTTATTCTTAAAATCGTTAAAGGGGAAAAAAATTACACATTCTTCTGCCTTTCCTATAGGAACTATATACCAAAGTAACTCAATACTTGATGAAACACCAAGTTTTTTAGAGAAAAATTCCAATTAATAAACTTAGAAAAAATAGAAGATCAACAGTTTTCTTAAGATGAAGAGTAGTTTCTCTGTCCCAAGAGAAAAGGGATAGAGAAAAAACACACTTCAGGACTATTGGTTTTGTTGATTTTTTTTTAACAATAAACTTCTATTATCTGTAAATTTTAAAAAACAGGAATGAACTTGTCTATTATCATCATTACCATCACTAGCACATTGGTCCTTTTTAATCCTGCTTTTTGTCCTTTCTGTCACTATTACGACAAAGAAGAAAACCTCCATAACAAAGCAGTTACAGTATATGCCAAATAGCCCTTTTTTCCCCTAAAAGTAAGGTTCTAGTTTCTAATGACTATTTCCTAAGAGAAATCACATTACCAAGGGGGCGGGTATAGCTCAGCGGTGGAGCGCATGCCTAGCAAGCACAAGGTCCTGGGTTCAATCCCCAGTATCTCCATTATAAAAGACATAAATAAAACCTAATTCCCTCCCCCTTCATAAAAAGTATACAGAGCTGTACGTCAATTACGTCTCAATAAAACTGGAAGGAAAAGCAAAAAAAAAGAAATCACACTACCAATCATAAACAGTAGAGAAATATAAAGTGTGCTTCTTAATTAATCGATATGCATATCCCGAAGGAAATGTGTGTCAAGTTCAGTTTCAAGAATGACAGAAGCATATGTGAGACCAAACAGGTTTCATTTCCCAGCACATAAGAGAACCAGACTGGGCATAAAACTACTGAAGCCCTTCCAAAAAGAAACAGGCAGAAAGCTGCAACATTCGTACAGGAGAAGAGAATGCTTACCTGTACTTCCCAAACAGTGAGACTGTTGTACCCCCCACAGGCACCGCCTTTCCTGGGCCATACACATCCCATATGGTCAGGGCCACCTGGGCATTCCTGGGCAGGTCAGGGTATTTCACAGGCAGCTTTAGCCATTCATTCCAGCTGTGGAAATCGAGTCAGAATAAACATACAGTTAAAGAGACAAAGTCAACATAAACAAGTACGTAACTTGTTTTTTTTGTTTGTTTGTTTTAATTTAACAAACCATACAAGAAAGTTTGGCCACAGAAAATGTCTGAAAAGATAAAGTTCGTACTACAAAAAACAATGTGGCATTCACCTCAACTTTGCTCTAAGCAACTTCATTTTCAGATGCAGGCATACCTCGTTTTGTTTCGCTTTACCTTACTGGACTTTGCAAATTCTGCGTTCTTTACAAATCGTGGCTCACGGCAACCCTGCATCTAGCAGGACCAACAGCACCATTTTTCCAACAGTATGGGCTTCTTTTGGGTCTCTGTGTCACATTTTGATAATTCGTGCAATATTTCAAACTTTCTCATTGTTACTGTATTTGCTACGGTGCTCTATTGTAAGTGATGTCTGATGTACTAATATAACTTGCTGAAGGCTCAGATGTAGTTAGGACTTTTTAGCAATAACGTAATTTTTTAATGAAGGTATAAACATTGTGTTTTTAGACGTGATGCTACTGCCCAGTTAACAGACTATAGTACAGTGCAACATTATATGCACTGGAAAACCAAAAAAACTGTATGATGCACTTTTTTGCAATATTTGCTTTACTGTGGCAATCTGGAAATGAACTTGCAGTGTCTCAGAGGCATGCCTACAAAACACATGGGAAATAAATTTTGAAAAACACAGTTCAAGAAAAATAACACTGGTTGTTTTCTTAATCAAGAAACTCAGAAAATATCACTAAGACCCAAGGACATGAAAGTGGCTGATGAAACTCTGGGAAAACACTTAAACCTGCTAGAGCCACACTTGTTTTGAACCAAACTATGACTTTTCTGTACGCACTCTCCAGAACAGTTTTAAATTATGAAGAGGAAAAAAAAATCATAGTCACTTATCCTCAAAACCCTGCTGAGTGGAATTTGGCCCTATGATGCGCAGCAGTATCCCAGAAAAGCAGAGAAGAACAACCAAAACCTTAAAGAGGTCAAAGAAGACTATCCGCTAACTTCATAACATGCCCTGAACAGGCATGACGAGTTTTTAGGTGAGATTTCCGTCTCTCAAGTTACTGCATTAACACCAATAAGGCTAGCTATTAGTTTTTTTTAATGCTTTCAAAGCATGTTTGTATATATGATTTCACTAAAGGATGCTTGCTCTTTGTAATGACAACACACCTCTTTCTCTTTTTTTTTTTTTACTGTCTTTTCACCTCTGTAAAATTTCTTCTGAATTCAACCTTCACACTGTATTTATCTGATCATTTCAACTCCCTTAAACAGCAGACAGCTTTTAAAATCCCAAAAGGAAACTATACAAACAGCACACAAAGTAATACCCAGCAGACACAGAGAATTGTTTCTCTGTTTACTCAAAATTATTCTGTTTGCTCAAAATTATTCTCAGAGGGCATACCCCAGGCTAGGCCAAATACACCTGCATCAGTAAGGAATTAAACAGAATTTCCACAAATTTAAAGAACAGAACATTTACATCCACCATATAAATTCAAAGACCAACAGGAAAATCAGAGACGGTTATCAATTTAAAGGAGAATCTGAATGTCATTAAATCCTTTTCTTCAGTGAAGTTCTTAAAAAAATAAAACACGTGCTTTAAACGTGCCATTCTCCACTGGAGATAAGCTTGAGGAGCTAAATGAATTATTTAATTACTATTCACACAGTGGACCAGACTGACAGGTAAATGCTAAGCAGTGTCACCTTATGCCAATGAACAAACCAAAGAGATTACTTAACCCAGACTAAAGTTAAAGAGAAAAGACAGTGATAATCAAAATGAGCTTTGAAAATACTCACCTCTATATTCTGTCCTTTGGGGACAATACATAAGAGTAAGCAATCTTTGCCTCAAACCCTCTGCCATCCAACACCAGGCCCCCACATCTCTTTAAATTAAAGCAACAGTAGTTCAAACTGTTTTACATACTTGCTACGTACGTATGGTTTTACATACAGTATATTTTACATACATACTTCTGTAGACTAGTTCTTAGAAATATAAATCTGCAGCTTAAAAATAGTGTGAAAACTGCCCAAGATATTCTAGAAATGAAGGAAAGATCTGGTCAGACATCAAAAGGCTGTGTATTCGGAATACCATTTTGTTCTCTGCCTTCCCCACGCCCCAACTCTTAGTTAGGCTTCAATTCACCTGGCAACTTTCAAGACATTCCAAGATTCTACAGCCTGATTTTGGAAGGTCTGATCTGTATCCCCACCCCCATACATCATTGTACTAATTCTCTACGCTGATTAATGCACTCCTAAACCCTAACTTTCTAATTTTTAAGTTAGATTAGATTGTTAGTCTGATGTCTAATGTCTCTCTCTAGAGCCATTTCAAATCCTTCGTGGGATTAATAGAATATAAATTTTTAAAAAATTTAAAGCACTTGCCTGCAGAATAATATTTACACATATAACTTAGAAATATGCAGCATTTCACACCTAAAGATGAAAATTTTACCCTGAGTGTAGCTAAAGAAAGTACAGGTTTCCCTCACCACAAGCTCTCTTTTATAGGACAGGATAGGATAGAATAGATTCTGATGAACTTGGATGAATTCCTCATTATTCAAACTCTCACAACTATCAGAAAGTCAGAAACCAGATTTACATAACTTGGAATCTCATACTACTCAAAAATATTTCTGAACCAAGGAAATGCAAAAAATTTAGATAGCAAGAAATCCTTTTATGGTATAATTTATTTTCTGCACAGTGTACAGAATCTTCCTTTAAGTTAAGTCCTTAAGGGAAAAAGTGGCTGTGAAAGTTTGCTTTTATTTATTACAGGAATGTAATTTTTGTTTTTATGAACTGGTAAAAAATTTCACTCAAGTAGTAAGGAGCAGATGTACAAAATCTGCAAACATTTCCCCTAAGCCCAAAGAGTATATTTAAAATAAGACAAAAGCTTATCCTTATAAAACTTCATCCAACATGAGGTATTTTCTCAATCTCTTTTCTACATAGCTGTTTTAAACCTTTTAATTAAAATTAAAAAGCCATTCTAATTATTTTAGAGTACTTAGTTTATTAGTTTCACAGTTTAAAAATATACATATTAAAAAACTCCAACTTTGAGAGAGCACATATGAAAGTTTTTATATTTGTGAAAATACACAAAACATAAACAATGTTGAGAGGAGTCAGCAAATGAGAGGAAGAGGAGAAAGATACTAACTTCCCTACAACTCAGAATTGGCTTTCGCTCTAATTTCCTTTGTTGCCAAGACATGGAACAAAACCACCGTACAATTTCTCTTACCAAGAAAAGTGGAATTCACCATAAATGTTGACTTCCTAGATCAAAATTTGTGGTTCTCTGCCTTTTTTGGGGGGCCACAAACCATCTTAAAAATCTAATAAAGGCTTTGAGCTCTGTACCTGTAACAATGTGCAAGACACAGACAATTCTGCATACAATTTCAGGGTTTTATAGGTTTCCTGGATACAGTTAAGGAATTTCGGTGCACTGTTTGAGGTGTAATGATGATACTGTGGTATGTTACATATACACAGAAATATTTAAGTTAAGATGATACAATATTTGGAATTGGCTTCAAAATAACACTGGTTACAGATGAAAGATGGCCTTGAGTTAGTAATTGACGAAGCTAGGTGATGGGGCCTTGCAAGTTCATTACATGATTGTACTTTTACAGATTTGACAATTTTCCAGAATAGCAAGTCTATATACATTATTATACACACTCGTGTGTGTATATCTAGCCACAAAATGACTACTCAAGAAACTACATCATTAAAATAGTCGGTTTCAGTGTAGCCAAATCATCAGAGCTCAGGCTTCTGACCTCTCTGGAAAACTTTTCCCAGCTTGCCGGGCCAACCTTGGTAAAGGATTGTATCCTCAACAGCTGAGCATGGGAGTCCCTAAGGCCACACCCCGCCTTCCATAAACACCACGGGCATAGACTTCTTCCTTGTGAGGCACACGGCCTGTATTCTGAACCAAGCCCCCCAGCCGACTGAACACTACTCATAGATCAAACACTGAAACTGCACACCACACAATTTATCAAACAAGAAGTGTCAAGAGATTATATTAAGGACACACAATACTATTCTGGAAAAACAGGAACCTCATGTTCATTGCATTTACCTCAAATACCAACAATGGTCTGCTAATGTGCCATCAATAAACCAAGAACTTAAAAAAAAAAATCCATATTTAAGATAAACATCTGATCCAAACAGATGACTGTAAAGATCTGAGCTCCAAACATCAGCCTAGACAACTTCTTAGACTATCCGGAAGAGTTTCTGTGTTCAAGGGCACAGGATGTCATGCAAACTTAAAGATGCTACATATCTGTTTTTGGTTTGGGTCATTTTGTGTATCAGTCAAGTTCTTAGGAAAACATGTCAATATACTCCATACAAACATAAATTCACGCCCACCTCAACTGCAGTTACAATACTGCCGTGTATACTCCTTTCTGAGTAGGTCTCTGCTTTAAACTATTCAATCAATGCTCATAGGTAATAAAATAAAGAACTGGAAAAAAAAATTCCTCTGTAATCCCCACCAAATACTACTTTCAACACCTACAAAGAAATGAGATAATGGTCTGGAACCCACCATATGCAAGAAAACAACTTACTTCCATCTCGTACTAAATGCCTTGTAGGAGGTTCTCACTGGCAAGGCCAGAGGCTTCCCTTCCGCAAAAACTTGGCAGGTTACGTAAAGGTCGGAACATGTTTCTTGGTACAGCCCTGAAAACCTCAACATCGGGTCTTCTAGAACAGCTTTGTAACTCTTCTGTTCTCTCTTTCCCTCCAGACTTCCTCTGGAAACATGAAAACAACAATGTTTAGACATACTTTTTTTTTAAGGAAATACACAATAAATACTAAGAAGAGCTTATGGTTATGACTCAGTGCTCAGTAACCATATGCTACCTGAACATTTTCCTATAAATGAAATTAAAGTCACTTTTTCACTTACTAAAGGTCTTCTAAAATCCTAACATATCTAAGACCATCCCTATCCTTTTCAACATATTTCTCCCTTTTAGGCTTATTTTTAAACCCTGTTGTCAACTCTTTGTCTACCTTCTAGATGTCACCAGCTTCCTAAGCATTAGTTTCATCTTATTAAGTTCAAGCTGGACACTAATCCCTCCATTCTTTCAACAGCATTTACTGCATTAGGCATAGAGGCCCAGAAATGAAAGACAAGATAAGCAGTACAGTGTTACAAGAAAATGTTAAGACCTTGCACTGGGGGGAAAACTTATCTTTTAACTGCACATTCTTTTTGTGCGCTTTCTTTTTGTTTTTTCTTTAAGTACATAGATGTATTATCTGATCACTTCTTTAAATTAAGAAACACAGCATTTTAAGCCATAAAAGATACATGTAAGATTATAAAAGAGGTGGGGGTGGATATGGCTCAGTGGTACAGCGCATGCTTAGCATGCACGAGGTCCAGGGTTCAATCCCCAGTACCTCCTCTAAAAAAGGGTGGGGGGAGTGGGGAGTAGCTGAAAGGTAGAGTGCATGCTTAGCATGTACGAGGACTTGGGTTCAATCCCCAGTACCAGCACCTCCATTAAAAAAATTAAAAAAGAGGTGGGAACACTGCTTGGACATCAAGATTACATCATCTATTGTACCAGGCATTTTATGCTTTCTTACTTACTTGTCACCATATCATCATATTATAAATGATGAAGCAGAGACTCAGAGATCACGTTTATGATCCAGGATCACAAAGCAAGAAACAGAGCTGAGAATAAAAACCAGGACAGAAGAGGCCAAAGCCAATGTTCTTCTCACTATAGAAAGATACGTCAAAAGGTCTCAGCAGCACGGTTTGTGTTACGTGATACTTCGGCAGGAGTACAAGAACGTAATGGAGCGGATGGACTGAAAGCAAGATTAGCTGGAAGAATTTTAGTCAAAATTAAAAGGAAAAAGGTAAACTAAAGCTAGGACAGTGTGGGGCAAAAAAAGGAATATGGATCAAAGATATTCAGCAGGCTGATTCAAGATAACTTATGAATGATTAAGCAGAGAAGGTGAGAGAGGGGTGTCTGCACGACTCATTTTCTGTCTTAACCAATTCGATGAATGATGCTAACAATCACCAAAATAGGGAGAGAGAAGATTAGAGTTAGAAGGGAAAGCCAATGATGTGCTCGATTTTGGACTAGTTGCTTTTAAAGTGCTTTGGGACATCCAAAGTGGCCACGTCTTACGGGCAGTTTGATATTTAATTATGGAACTAAGAAAAGAGACATCAAAGTGCAAGCTGTTATTAAAACCATAGAAATAGATGAAAAGGCCTGGGGAGAAGAAATAGAATTTTCAAAGTTACTATTTTCTGAGTACATGAGTCTAAACTGACACTTCCTGCGCTCCCCAAAACCAGTTTCAGAAGCTAAAAGATGGTTAGTACTGAATTTTGCCCAACTTCTAATTTATGTTTTATGTTTGCCTCAAAATACTCAGTGCATCTGTTAATAATGGACCAGCTTTTTAAAAAATTTTTTCTTCTTTCCTTCTACTGCTCAAAAGTTTCCAAAAAATGCACTCATATGTCCAAGACATACTGAGAGGAATGAGACTAAAGGAAAGCCCTCTACCAGACTGATGGCAATACAGGTCCTGTTTAAGTATCTATTGGTGTGCTGGAAAACTTACTTTAAATGGGTGTGTAAAGTATTACACAAAGGTACAGTTTGGTTATTGACACGTTATTTTTACCACCACCACAAAATCAATAGTGAAGGATTTTTCGGAGTCTGAAGTAAGTAACTTCTGAAAATAAAAGGCAACAATCATTCAAAGGTGCATCTGACAACTTAGAAAATGAATTTACCACAGATATGCAGCCCTTTGCCTGAGGTGCATTTGTTAAATATTGACCAAAACATTTAATGAATGATGTTGGGATTAATCATTTGTGATAGTTTTCACACATGAAAATATATCTATAAGAATGCCTTCCTATGCGCATAATTTTCAACTTGGTCCTACCTGTTCCCCATCTGAGTTCCCTTATTCTTCTTCTCAAAACGTCTTGTCCTGGACCCTGACTTCAACTGTGAGGCCTCAAGATTTTCCTGCAAGCCTCTCTTTTCCCTTCTCATACAGTCTGGTTCCTTTGCAGCTGGAACCCTCCTCATCTCAGACTCACTCCCAACTTCCCTGGCCAAAGGACGCTAGACTGTCGTTAAGATTCAACCTGAGCGTCTACCACCTCCCGTGCTTTTATTTTAGTACATCCCTCTGCTCGTCTTATCCTCAATTACCTTACCTGCCGGCGTCTACCTCTCCATTATTCCTGCAGGCTCCAAGTCCACCTTCCAGCCCAGTTTTAAATAAAATAAGATCTGCCAATGATTAATAGTGGGACGAAGATTGTACCCAGACTTGTTTTCTTTATCTGTAAGACGAGCCGGAATGACCCCTCAAAAAGGCAGCTGGGAACAGCAACAGCTTTCGAAGTAAAGCCCCTTGGGACTTAGGAACTTACTGCTACCGCCGTCCTTCTCACGGAGACCGCGTCCTCAGTCCTCGCTCGCCGCCTCCCTCCAAGCTCCGGATCACCTGCGCTCCCCGACCGCAGCCCTCCCGGCCGCCCCGCGGACCGACCCCCAGGCTGATAACAAGCATCTTCGCTCCCCCGCCGGCAGCTCCCTGCCTCCCCGCCCCCGAGTCTCAGCAATCCCAGTCCCTGCGCCTAGATCTTCTTACATCTTAAGCTGCACGTTGATGTCCAGGTCACAGCTGTAGATGTAGTGAAACTTCTCCGCTTCCCCCATGGCACCCCCCAGGGTAAGAGCGACACCGCAGGACACGAGCGAGGCGCTGGAAGGACTCCGCGACTGAACCCGCAGAGCCCCACGACAAGACGCTTCCGGTTCCGCCTCTCCGCCCGGGCGCCGCCAATCCCTGCCGGGAGCGCGACCCCACGCACAGCCGGAACTCCCCGTCCCGCCCAAACGTCCCTTCTGCGCATGGGCAGAAGGAGCCCTCCATCTTGCTTGCGGGCAGCCGAGATTCCGGAAGCACAGCCTGTTTGGTTACATTCCAGGCTTCCTGTGTTCTTCCTGTATTAACGGGTACTTGTTTATTTATTTATTTTTTAATGTTTAAGAAAAACTGTCACTTGAGCCTGAGCTGTTTCTAAAATCAACCCAAAATGAAATTCAAAGAGGACTGTAACAACTTTCGCTGGCTGCAGGTTAACCAAGGAACAGTCACAAGAATTAGAATTTTTACCGAGTTGAAATTTCCGAAAATTGTAGATTTAATCAGATATTTACGATAACTCCAGAAAAGATTGCGTCTTTCTCTTCTAAACTTGTGGTTGCTGCGGGGAGGAGGGAGGGAAGGGCAGACTGAGAGTTGGAGATTTGCAAATTCTGACAGGTATATATAGAATAGATCAACAAGTTTATACTGTATAGCACAGGGAAGTATATACAAGATCTTGTAGTAGCTCACGGTGAAAAAGAATATGAAAATGAATATTTATATTCATGTATGACCGAAAATTTGTGCTGTACACCAGAAATTGACACAACATTGTAAACTGATTATACTTCAATTTAAAAAAAAAAGAGTGAAGAAAGGACTAGACAAAGAAGAAAGAAACCTGGGTTCCAGTTTTGAAGTTACTGATATATATGCTACTTTGGACAAAGACCCAATATACCTTTTAAGATCTAACCTAGAACCTAGAAATATCTAGTTACAACTTCAGAACTCAGATTTCTGAGCCCTGTGAACTATGACAGTACTTACTTGTACATTTAATTGTATCTAAAATTGTAATCTTCATTTCCACCTAGATCCAAAACTCTTTGAAAGCAAGAATAGTGTGCAGTATATTTCTGTATCTGACCCCTTAGTGCCTAATACATTGCTGAGTTTAATAATTTCTATTTATTATTATTAGTGATACTGAATAAAATTCTTTATTTTTCATGTGTTTATTTTCAGGTGCCTCATTGTAAGAGGGCCATTACAAAAGTTATATAAGTTATTATGCTAATTAGAAAAAAAAAGCTTTCAAGGTAAGATTGAAAGGACTGCTCTTTAACCTGGAAAGGCAGAAAATGGCTAATGCACAATGTTTTGTCCAAGTAAGTTCTCAAAAATATTTGTGAAAGCAAACTAGGGAAAAACATGATAGTTATTCTCCTAAAAGTTACAGTTCCGATAAAAAGAAAGCAGACTTGTTCCAAGTATAACTACCACCAATGGTTGGAACTTGCAGGAAATGTAATTTCATCAAACAATAAGAACTGAACTTTCTAATCATCAGAGCTTCTAACAGTAAAATAGTTACAAGTTCTCTGTCTGTGAAACAATTCTGATACAGGAAAATAAATGCAGGGCAAGAGGAAGGCCATGTCCCAGATCTCATTTGCGTCCCTGGGATGGGCCCCACCAACTGTGGGTCCTTGACTTCACTCAGGAAAGAATTCAAGAGCGAGCCACTGTTGAGTAAAGGCAGATTTATTTAGAGAGATTCATACTCCTCAGAAGGCAGGCTGTTTCAGAAGGCAAGAGAAGGGCCATGAAGTGTGGGGATTGGGTGCTTAGTTTGAAGTAAAAGTAGATACACACTCCATAGAGCGTGGTCAGTCTCACTCAGAAGGGCAATTCAATCTTCTTGGCTTATTTTCTACTCAAATTACTGTGAAATCTTCATTAGTAATAAGTACCATGATGACCTTTGGCATTTACACAGCCCCCAAAGCATTTTTTGTCTAAAGTCTGTCTCTGTGTTTTTCTCATTAGCTCCTAACAGTTAAAGTCATACTAATTGACCCCAACACAGTCACAAACATGACACAGATAAAGGCATAAAAATGAGTGTCAATACTTGGTTCTGAGATAGCCATTCATAGGATCCAGGATAGACTTACAGTAACTTTTTAAAGATAATCATCAAGAAAAAGCAACATTAAAATGTATTATGGGGGAATCTTAGAAGACTGGACTGTATTTGTTAAAGACAGTAATGAAACAAGAAAGACTAATGTGCCAGTAAGGAGGAGGATTGTGGTAGGTCACAGAAGCATGTCAAAAGTCACAAATATAAAAACTAGCAGTGTCCTTCCTGGACCAACCGTGTGTCAGGAAGATGTTGGTTAGTAGATCAGAGTATCAGACTCAGGTTAGCAAAGTCATGAGAAGTGGAAGCCTTAAACATCTTATTCTGAAAGGAAAGAAAAAAGAAATGATCATTTCTTTCCCATGTGAATTTTCACAACTCATAAATGTAACACACCCTTATAATTATAGAACACAATTTGCACTGCAAGAGCTCACGTTCCCACAGATAACTGCCTGTCTGTAGGGAAGGAACTTTTATGCATAGATATTTTCTTTATGTGGTGAACTACTTTATTGACTATTTGGTCCCACATTTAATTCACCTTTGGAGTTGCAGTTTTTATTTTGTTTTTCCATTGCCATCTTGTTTCAATTTTATATTTATTCAAATAACAAATTTTAACATTGGTTGAGAAATTTGTCAATAATGATCCGTTCCCTCAAGGTTGCCCAAGATTCATGTAGTGATAATCAGGTTTGTTTTTGTCAGTTTCTGTCACCCAGTTTATTCTCTTTAGCTCGTAATGACAAATTGCACCCATAGCTTAAAAAAGCAACCATCTATTATTGGAATCCATCACAATAAAATGACTATGATAGTATGTCATTAAAATAATCTCATAACTGTTTTTTTTCAAATAAAAAAAATTGCCTTTACAAGTTTTCTAATAACTCCATGTGTTTTAGAACCTAATCACATGATAGAACAGACAACACTGTCAGGAAAATTGGAAGATCCTATCTCATAAGCCAAGACTTGTGTCCATTTGTCAAGTGACAATATGGGAGAAGTGGGCTTGAGAATGTCTACTAGTGACCTTGGAGTAGGAACCCACAAGGACTAGTGGTTCCATTCAGAAAGGTAATTTCTATCAGCTACAAAAGGGAAAGGATCAAAACAACACAGTTTCTGAAAAATAATAAAAATATACTGTGCATATGTGCTCCTACTATGTAATAGAAGAAGCTCCTCTCTCAGTGTCAAAGTGAGGGAAAAAAACTAATAATTAAATAAACATCACTGTCAAGAACATCAGCTCTAGAAGAGAAATGGGGCCATAGCTCCCCTACTATGAAGTATGATCAGGTCATGCCTAAGGAACACGGTTGTAGGTTGAGCTCTTTGTTCCTCTGAGACAGGAAGGGGGTGGGACACAGCCATTCAAGGAATGTTACAGCAGTTAACATCAAAATGGTGGGAGATTTGACTTCTAGTAGACCTTGAGCTTCATTATACACCCTTTGTAATATAAGCATGGTGAATAACATGCCCACAGGCGCCATGGCAGTCCCAAGGCTAGGCACAAAAGGTCAAAGAGAGGGAAACGCCAACTTCCTGGGAATCCCAGCCCCTTCCCCAGGCTAGTTAGACTGGTCCTTCCACTTATTAGCATATAAAGCCAATGAGCCCATAAAAACTGGCAACATGCACCTTGTGGCCTCTGCCCCCTCTCTCCCTCTTCAGAGACAGCTGCACTCTGTCTCTGCATACCTACTTTTACTTTAATCTGAGCACCCAACCCCCACACCTCGTGGCCTTTCTCTTGCCTTTTGATGTATCTCTAAATAAATCTACCTTTACTTAACTGTGGCTCACTCTTGAATTCTTTCCTGTGCTAAACCAAGGACTCACACTTGGCAGGGCACATCCCAGGGTCTCAACTGAAGCCTGGGACACGGCCGTCCTCGTGCCCCACATCCGTTTTTCCTGCATCACCTCCTCACCCCCACCACTCAATAGAAGGAGTGATGTCTAGTATGTAGATCTCGGAAAGGGGAGCTAAAAGACAGAGTGAGAAATATCTGATTGTTAATTCTAGTCTCTTGAGACAAGATTTTAAAAGATTTTTAAAACTCTAAGCCCCATCAACTCTGGACTTTTACAAAATGTACTGGACCCTGAGAGAGGCTCCATCTTCCTCCCCTACCCTTGTCAAAAACTATTAGATCTTTGTACTGCAAGCCTGAGATTGCTCCCTCAGAGAAGCCCCCTCTCACCTCACCTTCGTCCCCAAGACTGGCTTAAGTCATCTCCCTCGAAAATCTATTCCTCCTGTATTCTTTTTCCATCGTATTCCCAGGAGTTTTTATCACAACTGTTGGGTCCATGGCTGTCTCCACCACTAGACCACAAGGTCTGCAAGGGGAGGATTTGTGTCAGTTATATTCACCTGCTTTAGTTCCTGGCACAGAACAGATGTGGAATAAGAAAAGTAAGAGAGAAACCTTAAAAAATTACTGTCTGCCAGACAGCACCCTAGTCCAATTCATGGATATAATTTTATTTTATTTAATTATTTCAACAAAATAGTGAAGTAGGTGCTATTGCCTGAGTTTACAGAAAGGTAACTAATGTAGGTTAGGTGATTTATGTATGATTAATAGCTAATAGATGGCAGAGCCAGGTGTGTCTGACTTCAAAATGCATAACATTTTTACCAAACTATGAGGAAATATTCCAGAGTAATTCCTAAACTTCCTTTTTGCAACAGAAAAAGAAACAATATATTAATGGCAGCGTCTCTAGCACCCTCAGTGTTACTTAGCACTGCCACAATCCCTCTGCCTCTCGGTAGGTTACATTCTCAGGCAGACACCTTGACTCTTTGCAGAATAATCCATGGAGGGAGGAGATTTTGATACGCTCAGCATCTTTCCAGGTCGTCCATTTATTTAACAAACATTAACTAAGTGCTTAAAATGCACCATGAACCACACCAAGCACCGGATGAGACATCAACCTCTCCAGTCTCACCAGGGGAAAAATAGCGTACCCCATCTGCACGTGGGGCCACCTCTGGC